AAAAGAGATGGATCTTTGGAAATCCCCCTTATAGGATTCGACCTATAGGGTATTTAGGGATATATTTGTACATTTTATTTTAAATAAAATGTGTTGTAATAAATTGTATAAAGGTGATGAGTTTTGAAGAAAAATAGCATGATTTATGTTGAAAACTCCTAAGGGAATGGTTGATTAAATTAAAGAACACCAACGGTTATAAAGAGGTCTAGACTTGTGTATTGGCATAGCATTGACAAAAATATAAAGAAAGGAAGATAAGCGATAAAATGTATGCCTTATGGAAAATCTAGGCATGATAACATTTTATTGATTTTGGAATTGTGGATTCTTGCTCTAGGTGTACCTAGGGACAAAAAAGGATCGGAGTCTCTTGAAGACATATAAGTAACTTGTGCAACAAGTAAGTGTATTGGTAAAGCTTCAAGAGGTAAGCTCTATGTTTAAGGAGTCTTTTCCTGCTTGAGTGCTCCACCATGGTTAGTGAACTATGGTTGGACTGTATGACTGTTATTTAGATGCTTTGTATAGATGCATTCATATAGAGTTATTTGATAACATGATATGTTTTGCTCTGATATGACTTCTGTAATATGATTTCTGTAACAATCTCTGGCCATTGATTGTATAGTACCCGGATGTCCGCTTTGGGGTCCTCCCTCGGGACTGATGGTGTACGCCTCTGATATGTCTGGTTCCGCTTTGGGGTCCTCCCTCGGGAACACGTGCGTTGATTTCCGCTTGGGGTCCTCCCTTGGGAATGACGGCGCACATCTCTGATATGATATGGATATATGCTCTGTTCTGTTATGATATCTGTTATATGTTGTATTTGTATACTCTGTATCTGACTTTCATGCAGGAGTGAGCCAGGGGTATGGAGAATTCTCTATAAACCTGGAGCTTATTGAGATTTGTAATCTCACCCCTCTTTGGGGACATATTTTCAGGTGCCCAGATTCCCGGTGAGTCCTCACTAGGCAGGGACACGACACGTGGCTGAGGCAGTTGACAGATTGGATTTGGAGTGGCTGTAGGCTACTACCTTTTTGGAGTGTTTGATGTATTTCAGTATTTTCGCATTTGATGGATCATGATATTGATCCTTTATTGTGTATATGGCCTGTATATGTTTTGTACATGTCTGTCGCTTTGATGCATGTACATTTGGGTATTCAGGCACGTTATATGATGAGGTAGTATTCAGATATGTTTACGTGTTGGATTGCATGCTGTTAGATATAGTGGCACTGAGCCAAGTTATGCATGTGCCCATGGATGGGCATTTGATTATATTTGTATAAACTGTTTATCAGGAAATGCTTCTGTGAGGGATTGGAAAATCCCCAGTTGTCCGATTTATAGAGGAAACTCTGCCCGATTTTCGTTTACGACGAATGAGAATTTAAAAAGAAAAAGAAAAAGTTAGCTCGTATTTTCAGAAGTTAAGTCTTTCGCTGTTTTCTGTTTTATCATATGTATGTTAATTGAACCGGCTCGAGACGGGGATGTTACAGTTAAATTAACAGTAAAGTTAGTTTAAAGTTTTTCTTATTTTGACAAAAATTTTAAGATAACGAAGCATAATTTACTATTTATACTTTCTTTTTTTGGTAAACAACTATTTATACTTTTACAAAAAAGGTTAGGTTGAAAAAAAAAATTAATACTAAGTAATTAATATGCGAAACTAAAAGCCAAAAAAAAGAAGAAGCAATTTTTTACTAGATAAAACAAAATATAACATAATACATTTTTCTCGCTAGTTATATTGATGTTAACATTAAAGGACAATACATCTATCATGTAACATGATAGGAAAAGTGATTCCTATTGACCCATCGATTATTGTGTTAAATTTCTTTTGTTTATTATTTTTTTTCACAATAAATCCCACCAAATTTTGTTTGTATAGGGAATTGGTTTCCTATCATGTTACATACATAACATAAATATTTCTCAATATGGATTAGTCTCGTCCTTTCTCCGGTTGCGAAGCTTAGTGCACCCACTGTTATAATGAGGGGCTAGCCCAAACGGGCCGTACTCCGAGGGCATGGTGCCCGGAGAAGGTTGAATGGGGATACCTCCTAGATGTACCAAAAAAAAAGTATTTCCCAACATTAAATTGGAATATACTTTCTTAAGAGTGATTGAAGTTTTTAATTCATTCTCCTTTTTTTGTAGGTTTTAATTCATTCTCCTTTTAAAGAATGACAAATGTAATTATTGTTTTTTGGATTAATTATTGTACATTATTTCATAATTTTTTTAAATAAATTATAGCTATATTGAGTATCATTCAAAATACCGCTTAATTTAGAAAAATTACTGAGATTTATTCAATTCAAACATTATTTGGCCTGTGATCAACTTCAAGTTTCATTGCACAATTTGCAGGTTGACAATTATTTTCTAAACCAAACTGATGATTTTTATTTGAGGAAAGGGGAATCTAGCTTTTCTCTTCTAAAGGTCACGAAAACCAAATCTTTTAAAAATAAGGCGATAAGTAAAGGTATTAATAATATATATATATATTTTATTTTTTAAATTTACACGTTCACTTTGCTAGGCGGATTGAAAATTGGTGGAGAACTTTTTCAAAATTGTTTTGCATTTTTTTGACCGTGAAAGGGTATTTTCATATTTTGGCCATTGACCATATAATTTTGAAAGCTCAAACTTCATATTAATGAAATCATAATGCAAAACCAAATAAAATCACCTAAAAAGGTTTATAAATGTTTTTTGAGTCTTAATTATATTAGGAATCAAAAGCAGTAGGTTACGTATCTCTTCAAAACCTACATAACCTTTTTAAAAAAGAGTTTATCTGAAATTTATTTTCAAATATTTTAAACTTAGGGTAGGACATCAATGTCCTTGATATCTCTCTTTATGTTGTACTGAAAATACTTTCTTGTCTCTTCCAGGTTAGGAACGAGCATCTGACTTGGTTTTATGCTGCATATGTTTTATTGTAGCACCCTTTCTCGACTGGGTATGTTGGTCATGTAAAGTGCAAGCTGTCACGTCGTAAATATTGAACAAATTGACCAGGTATCAATTCGAATAGAGAAATGAATTTGACATAATATCAGACCATTGGTTAAGTTTTTAACGTGGTGTTAAATTTTCGGAAAAGTGAGGGTGATAATTTAATTTATTCATATTTAGCAGAAGATTTCTGAATTTTTTTTCCGAGAATATGATTTTTTTGGAATTTTGTTTAATGTGTAAAATGTAAACCAAAATACCATCCAAAAATATCATCCAAAACTTTCCCCAAAAAATGAAAATTTAGATGTGAAAATTCTGACAAAATTTTTGATAATATTTTGACATACAAAATAACTTTTTGGTAATATTTTGAGAAACTCACTTTTCTACCATATTGATTTCTAAGTAAAAAAAAAAACTCCTGAATCCAATGAAAGATCAGTTAAACTCAACAATTGTCGTGCCTAAGCGTGCATGCAGAGGCGGATTCAGGGGGCCTCCAAAAATTTGAAGGATTTTTTTTTTAAGAGAAATGGATATAGCTGTATGCTTCAAGATTTTACACCTTGAAAATTTGCCAAATATGTGTCTTCTGGAGATCAAATACCAGTGATTGTACCCAGTATCATTATGGAGTATCTGCTGTACATGTGGTTCAGTAACGTGTCAAAAGCTGTACAGCAATGCTCTCCAAAGAGAAATGTTTTAATCATGCATTTGATTAAGATGAAGACCAAGATGAATCACACTCTCCTCTATTACACTCACGATGCATGTCATGTCTTTTGGAACAAGCACGCTTTAGGCTTTTTTTTTTTTTTTTTTTGGAGAGAAGGCCATTTGAATAGATTTTTTTAATATGCTCCGGTGTATATTTCTTTGGATGCTCCATTTTCAATAAAGGAAAATTTTTCTTCTATTTATATCCTTATCTTCTTTTTAAATTACTTTTCAGTCCTTTTTTCTTTTCCTTTTTAGTTAAGGCTCGTCAAGTCCCGGCTCACCATAAATGAGCTCCATTTGAATCGGGATTACTGTTACTCTGACAAGATGTGTTTGTGTTTGTGCTAAAGGTTGATTATGTTCTCACTCTGTAAAATTATTTGATAATTTTTGTTAAATTTTGATATTCTCGTTATCATTGATTTTTTGATGTATCAGTATCACGTATTCTTGTTGATATCTTCGACTGCACAAGCACACGTTGAGGCTTTTTTATTTTTTTTAAAATTTCCTTAAAATATAAATAATGATTTTTTCGCCTCTTGCAAGAAAATTGCATGACTCCACCCTGTGTGCATGTTGTCAGGCGGGTCCAGAAGGACACCACCAATGGTGGTTAAACTATACCAACTGTAACAAGCGAATTCGACACCATATCTCAACTCAAAACCTTAAGATATTGGATTAATAAGTCCATCCACTTATATTCACTTCACTTAACTCATTACCAACCAAGGTAAGACTTATCAAATTTAAATATTTCAACAATTTCCCTGAAGTGTGAATTGGGACTACTGTTACTCTGACGCGTGATGTAAAGATAGTTAACTGAATCAGATTGGAAGAATGCTGCTAACACTTGTATTTTATACCTTCCTTTGTACAACTTTCAAATGGCTCTAAAAAGCTTAACTGGAAAGGATCTAGTTTAGTTAATTTAGATATATTTAGTTGTGTAGAGTAGTAAATGCAAGATTTCTGAAACAGTATTACTCTTCCAAATGCTTTTCCATTGAAAATTTAATTTAAAAACAGTATCTTGCAAATTAAAAGTACAGTCATATGAATTCTCTGCACCCGATTGGAGCACGTAGCCCAAGGGAAGGTTGTGTTACCATTTCATTCTTGAATTTCGTGGCCATTCACATTCTCTCAAAAACTTGGTGATTGTTCAACAGAAAGGCTAGAAGTGTAGTGATTCATAAAGAAAAAAATAAATAACAAAATATTAGATGAATGAATTACTACAAACAACTTTGACAAAAATTGAACTGTAGCTAAATTGAATATAAATCTTCACAATCTACAACTTCCTCAATCTCCTGACCCAGTTGTTGAAAATATGGAAAACGTCAAGGCTCTGATCTGTATATATACAAGATGTGCCTACTAAATAATCCATTCTCTGAAATACTAGAGACAATGAAAAATTATTTCAGTTGTATGCTATAGGTGAATTAAATTCACAAACTTGGTGGAACTGATTCATGGCAATCAACATAAACACCATTATCTATTGCATCCATAAAGTTTAATTTTATACCAAATTAAATGCTACCTAGTTTAACGGAAACAAGAAAATGATACCCACTTTAGAAAAAGATTTAGAGGAATTACCAGAGCAAAAAAATTGTGTTCATCTGCCTTGGTGAGAAATACTAGTACTCAATAAATTATTTTTTCAGAAATGGTTTCTGGCAAACAAGTAGCTGCTGGTCACTGCCATTCTGAAGGTCAATTACCCTTGCTTCCCAACGTACTTGTGTTGCAAGCGTGCGAGCCATCTCTATAGCTCCCATTGTATCAGAAAGGATGACCCATCCCTAAAAAAATAGTGATATTTAATTACAAAAATTAGGCTTCATAGATCATTTCAATATACTGAGACTGACAACTACTTGCATTCAAAACACTCAATTCCAAAAAACTATTTCAAGCGTGCATCACAACAATAAATGAGGATGCATCATTAGAGTCAAGTTGCTTAAATAGAATCATCTGTCAAGATGATATCATCCTTTCTGGAGGATGCGTCAAAAGAAAGGTGGAAAGGAAGAGTAAGGAAAGTGCCAGATTACTGTTCTGCTATCTTTTCCGTATGTCCATTGTGAAAAAATCAACGGTGAAACATTTCCAGCACAATATAAAAAGGGACATCGTACCTCTGGACGCAGTATCCTATCCATCTCCAAGAATAAGTCTTTCATGCTGCACCTCTCTGAAGAGGGATGCGAGAGAAGTCCATTTGCGTGAAGCATATCATATGTCCGGGGGTAGGTGGGGAAAGGTTCGCACCTGAAGATCAATATCAGTACTCAGATACAAAAATGAATTATCGAGAAGCTCATAAGCATTAACATTATTTTACAAAGATGTTTGTAAATGAACTCAAAAGTAAAGAGAATTTAGAGACTAAACTCCAAACAGGTGGATGATGTTCTTTTTAACTGGGTTTGGCAATGAACTAAGTCAAATAGTTTCAATCCAACAGGTCAAGTGCATGCATGCATCCTACACTTATCTCTAGATTCATTCTGAAAAGGAAAAAAAATTAAGAAAGAGATGGGTGTGTTTGATAAAAAAATTGTATATTTGGTACTGAAATCTCAGCACTATAAGTGTAATATGGATATCAAAGGAAATTATTGACATATTGATACGAACCTTGGGAGAGCCTCACCTCAAAAGCTAGCTTATGAGGTACGAGAGCCCAAAGTCCATATAAACTCTACGCCAGAACCATATGTTTTTGATGTGGGACTCCAAGTCCCATACCTAAGAATAGAATCGTAACATTCCATCACGCTCCACAGCTCCTGCGCCTACGCGGGCTGGCTTTGCGCTAGTCTTTTACTAGCTCTGAGCGAACATTGCGATGCCCGCGTCACCACCCGCGCAGCTCGATTGCAACTGGGAGACATAGTAAAAGGCTCTGATACAAATTGATACGAACCATAGGAGAATCTCACCTCAAAAGTTAGCCCATGAGGTAAGAGAGTCCATATAAATCCCACATCAGACCCTTATGTTTCTGATGTGGGACTCTAAGTCCCATACCTTGTAGTAGGATCGTAACATTCTACCACGCTCCGCAACCCCGTGCCCTTGCTTCTTAACCATCTGTGTGTTCCCTTTAGTTGTGTGCTTCCCAATATGGAAGTAAGGATAGGCTTGGTGTAGATTTTTCATTCTAAGTTCAAACTCACTAGCCTAATTTTTCTATAAAATAAAAATTTTGGGTTGGACTAGCTGGACACTAAATTGGGCCGCGTTTACATCTTGACCCAATTCCCACCTTAACCTAATTTGCTTTTGTTCCTTCACTTCTTCACCTCCTCCATAACTTTTTTTCTTTCTCCATGGTTGCGCTGCAATTTCAATATCACTCACTGCCTTTCTTGCTGTCCTTTATTCAATTTTGTGCATGTCGGTAGCCATCCTCTTCGTTCTTGGCTCTTCTGTGAAAATTCTCCTATCGTTTGAAGGTTTCCGTCTGGCGGCTTTGGTAATGGTGGTGGGTCATCCACTGCTATCGTTGGTTGCAACGCTGTTGGTACCCGTGCACGTCGAAAAGTCTTCTCATTCTTAAACTCCTCGTGGTCTTCGTTTATAATTTCCGTTTGGCCCAAACTGAGGAACACCTTGTTGGTGTTATGAACTCTAATAGTTTATGAAATCTCCACAACTTGATGATGTCTTTCTGGTAGGTCTTTTTCACTATTTCCAATTGGAACGTGTGTCTCCCTTGGCTTTTCTTTGCTTGTTCCTCCTTGCGTGGCTTCTGTTTCCTAGTCCTCAAAGCCCCCTTACAGCCTCTGTTAACTTCTCATCTTCATGGATTCTCTCTGCCTGGAAATATTGCTCCAGGTATATTAGTCATCCCAAGCATCATCATCTTCTCCATAGAGCTTCCATAACTTTCTTCTTAGGGTGGACATGGTTCAAAGCTACCTAGATCCGATAGCTGTGATACTAATTGATATTGTTGAGATATATAAAATCATTAATGTAACCTCACCCAACAACTTAAGCTTTTGGGTTGAATTGGTTCTTTAGATGGTATCAAAGCCTCAGTGTATCGGGTTCGATCCTCACCGCCCCCACTTTCTTTCTAGTGGAATTTCTTTCTTCGCACATGTAGGTGGACCTGTGCATTGTCCACCCTTCAAGCCCAGTGGGCTCTTGTGTGAGGGGGCGTGTTGAGATATATAAAATCATTAATGTAACCTCACCCAACAGCTTAAGCTTTTGGGTTGAATTGGTTCTTTAAAGATATAAACCTTGGGAGAGCGTCACCTCAAAAGCTAGCCCAAGGGGTAAGAGAGCCCAAAGTCCATATAAACCTCACACCAAAACCTTATGTTTCCGATGTGGGACTCCAAATCCCATACCTTGGAGTAGGATCGTAACACATTATGAAACTAATGAGTATATATTAACTGAAACTGATACCGTTTAATAGTTTACAAAATAAAGAGTTGCGCTGGAATTATTTTGTACATATTCTACAAACACCACTAAATCATTTTCATCGCTAAAATTTTCATTTTCAGCAGCACAAAAAATCATGAACATACATCTTTTGCAGTAAATTATGTAAAATTACTGTTACTTTCCCAACTAGCATACACCATTGTTCTGTCGTTTATCGTTAGAATGTGCTAATGATAAGTTACGAGGAATACATGTATTTAGGCTTTAGTGGTATTATCAGTTTATTACCCCCACCCTCAACAGTCTCACCTTCAATCAATTTTTCAATTATATGGAAACTTTGTCTAGATCACGCTCAACAATTTACCTAGATCATGAACACATAGAAACTTACCAATCATGCATAACACCAGCAAAACCTCTATCCAGTATAAGAGGAAGTGCATTAGAAGTCCTGGCAGGAACAACATTCATTACCCATACTGATTTTTTCTCATCCAGCAGGGCAGCATTCAAACCCCCATAATTAGTATTTATGTCCATAACATTCCGTATCATGTTATATGGAGGCAGTGGATCTTCATCTCCAGGTCTCTTTGGATGGTCAGAGAAAATTAGCGGTGTAAGCAATGACCAATAATTCTTGACAGCTGATCTCCAAAATTGTAAGTCTTCATAAAATTCTTCTGGCTCAACTCCTGCAAAAATAAAGAGAAATTCATGAAAAGGCAAAGCATTACAAATGGGAATGAAATTTTGGAGGAGGAGAAGCAAGGAGGAGATAAGCAGATAGCTGTTAAGAAATAATACTTTCCATGAATTTTAAGCTCATATAAGCTTAATTCAGATCCAGAAGATCTGTTTTGTATTGCAATCCAGCGCTTGCTAGAGGTCCCACTTATACATGGTACAAGAGGTTGATAATATGATTGAGCATCATCCCCTTCTTTACATAGCTGTATGGCACGCTGCTTACTACAATTAAGAAACAGATGTAACTGAAAACCTATAGATATAGTAATAAGTGTTCAATGGAGCAAGCCAATACCACAACTAACAGTAGTTGATATTAGTCATCTCAAATAAACAGTCTATTGACTATAATTATTTATGATATATATCACTCACATTAATACAATTATCCTTACCGAGATGCATAACAATCAACATCAGCAGTCTTCTGCCAGATAAAAGTCTCATCTTGCTGAGCTAGAAGAGTCCAACAAAGTTGCTGGGTCAGTTCTTCCATTGGGTTCAATATGCTTCTCTTTTTCTCCCGTGATGAACCCTGTGAGCGGCTTGTGGGTGAGGTTAAAACAAAATATCCTCCAGGTTTAAGAACACGGTCAACTTCTATGAGGAACATTCCATCTGCAGGATGAAATCAATTTTAGAGAGCAAAAGCACAACAGTCCAAATAGAAGCTAAACTATATTCACTATGGTATAGAAAAGTCATGGAAGGATGGAAAAAGTAAAAGGAAATGGCAATGTGATAGAGAAAAGTGAAGAAAAAGAAAGAAAAGGGGTCACATCCTCATATAAACATTTCAGACATCTTTTGAACGATCAATTTGAATGATGACAAACAAATTACTTAAAAATGAAAACCTATTTTATGATATAAATAAATCCAAACACATTTATATGCCAAAACCAGAATATTAATTCATAAATACATATATTAAATCAGCTTTAGAAGATAAGTAAACATAAAAACATAAAGGCTGTGGGAGATGCTATCAAAAAACCAAATCATAAGCAATTCATGACTAGCTGCTATAAGGATCAACTATCCCAAAGCTTTAGCAATTAGGAGGAGGCCAAGAATAGGTTTATATCTCTTAACATGCCCCTTCATGGAATAGTCCTTTAAGTTTGAAGCATGAATAATGAATAGATCTACTTTATCTCATGCTAAAATTTAATTAAATCATCAAGAATGGGGGTGACAAGGATTAGACTCCTGAGCATTTGATTACAGAATAATAACATGTCAAGGATCAAGTATCCTATAAGCTTAAGCTATTAGGTGTAGGCCAATAATGATTTTATACCTCTAACATACAAGTTCACCACATTTGTGTCATTCCAAGGGTTAGTGATAACTCAATTACTAATTTGACATTTGACAAATAGCATTATTTTACTTTTTGGCCTTACAGTTTATGACACCAAATAAAGTGCTCGTACTCGGTCTTCTCTCTTACTTGTCATCAAATACAACTTTTGACAAAAACTATGACTTAAATCTCAAAAATACACAAACATATAGCATATGAATATGTTCATCAGCATGTAAGGTAACAATACTAACAAATAGGGATTAGATTTTATAAAGTCTAAAAGGAATCCACTCTGATAAGAATGTAAGAGTAATGCCCATTAGCTATATAATTACCTTTTTCATCCCAAATGATGCCACACTGAGCACAATGAACCATATCATATGATAATGATGGATAGGGAAGCTGCCTTGCAATAAAGTTTCCAATGATAGCAGGAAGGCCTCTCTCAAGAGACAATTGAACTTGGCTACCAGTTGCCTCATATGCCGCCATACAAACCGCCATTATTTTCAGTGACAACAAATGAGCTCCAAAGCTACCAAATCCACAATCAATATCCAGTATAGTTCGAACCTGTTATAATGTGATCAATATAGATCAGTCACATAATGAGAACCAAAAAAGAGAACATAGGCAGCTAAAAAGTATAATCTTTTCTTACTTTACCACACATGGCACTATTTTGCACAAATTATGCCCCTATAAAACATTATGGTTCCTCAAAGGACAACAATTTGTGGATTAGGGTGCATGAAAGACTTACACCAGCTTGAGGAAGCTCAGAGTCGCTTCCTAACCCTATCATCTCTGCAAGTTGGCGAGAATAATCTTTCACGCCATCAAAGATCAATCCATCCTCTGAGTGAAAGGCAATTTGATTCTCTTCAAGTAGCATCAACCTAGAGGAAGCATCACAAACTTTTAGAAAGTGAAAAAAAAAAAAAAAAGATATATAAATCACAACAAAGAAAGACCTGATTAAAGCTGCATTACTTTCATTCAAGCAGTCAGTTATTATACCAGAAACATTTATTTATTTTATCAAAAGGAGGTGGCAACTCCCCCCCCCCCCCCCCCCCCCCCAGCAATTAACTTAGACAAAGGAAGTACCTTTTGGTCATACTTCCAGAAGAAAGAAATTGATCTTTAGTTATCTTCACATTCCCGCTCCATATAATATCCCTGCCACTCGGCCACCGCAAGGGAATCTTGTATTCCTTGGGAGGACGAATCAAACACCTCTCCACTTCCCTCAACTGTTCGCAATGCCGATCAAACTCCTCACCTTCTTTAAACCCCGACAACAAATTCGCAGTGACATTGTGGCAAGGCACAAAGTTTTCCATTTCCTTGCCGCAAAGGTCAAGTTCCTTTTGCCTCGTGCCACCATTTGATACAGACCTTAAATCCAAATAATCAACAGCTGCTTGCTCTTTTATCCTTCTGTAGGTTGTGTATATGAGAGATGCTGGATTAGGAGGTGCTGAATCAATGGTATTCGAAGACGAAGAACCTAACACCGTAATTAAAGCGACAAGACTAAGCAGGCTCAATATTAACCAGCTAAGTGGCGGTTTAGGGCCAATAATTATGTACAATTTATTGAACCAGGAGCTTCTCATGTCCAAAATCGTGAAACTGGCACTGTTTTCACACAAGGATTCAAAACCACGCTAAACAGTAAACTACGCCAACCCTAACTCTCCAACCATAACCTACCGTAGCACCATGAATCCTCGCTATCCCTGCAAGCATTGAAACAACACCTCATGCCATTGAAAGAGGAAATCCAAGTGCAGATTCACACACTGAATCGCAAAGGTTAATGAAGACACGATCGAGCAATGCTAATCGAAGGAATGACCAATCGATCGATCAGATCGCCTGCACAATTGAATCAATCAAGCAGAACCGATTTTCCAATTTGAAAACGCATTCCAGATCCGATCAAAGCCACAGAAGCGTGAATTCAGAGACGAAAATGGAGAATTAGGGTTTTGGTGAAGAAGAGAGTGAGATTGATTCAGAAAGCAATTCCGAATAGTGGTGAAGAAGAACGCCTTTTCCGGTTGGGTCCAAATTGTTTGGATTGCAATTTGCAACCTTCCTTTCCCTTTGCAACTTGGCATTTTTCTCTTTCTTCCCTTATATACCTCCCGATCATTTATTAATCAGATCCAAAACAAACAAAAAAAAGAATAATTATATATGTTCTATTAACATTAATTGGGTTTTATATTTTTAACTTTTGGGATTAAACTTGGGATTGCAAGATAAGATTCTAATAAATAAACTATACTATAGAACCATAAACCATTAATAAATAAACCGTTAACGGTTAACCCAGCGTGTTTATGTAGTGTGTGTCCAGCTACTACTACAACTTGCTATAATATGATATTTTTAACTCTTGAATTTTCCCAAAAAAGAAAAAATATCGAATGACCTAAATATTCTATATATTTCAGTCAAAGATGTATGAATTCAGAATATTTTATTGGAAAAGATATTCTAGTGAGAGAAATAAGGTACTTATAAAGGATAAGTGACCTTATGTTTATTCACCAATTTCTTAAATGATATGGGTTTGAATACCACAGTTCTTATAACCCTTTACACCTTCGATGTTTTGCCAGATTTCTACATGAAAAAATTGTAACCTATTTTAATTTTGGGCTTTTAGTATCTCGGGCCAATATTGAAAATGAACATATGTGTCATTATAAGTGAGGAGAAGAAAAAGGGAGCCGTACTGTATATAAAACATTAATTGCTTGTTTCTCAATTGATATTGTAGCCATGGGTTGATTGTAGATTTACAAGCAAAAAATTGCCACTCCAGAGGGAGGGTGTCATTATGTGTTGTTGTTGGTGGTGGCCCCTCCACGTCTCCAACGTTCATGTCTAGAAAATAAGCAATTGATTAGTTTTCACTATTTCAGGGGTGGTTGGCACTAACCAGCACTTTTTCCATTTATGGTTTCCTTAGAATTGACGTACGGTAGGTGCGTGTCTGAAACCAACGTGAGAATGAAAAGATTATATTCACTGACTTTTTCTTCCCTAAAATCAAAGAGAATGTGCTATATAAATATAATCTAATTAAAGAATTAATGTTTCTCATGTTATACGAGATAATTTTGTCTCATATTTATATGCGTATGAAATCCATGTAAAGAGAAAAAAAAATAATCTCCACACACTTTTATGTGTTTGTTTGTAGGAGATCAAAGAAATGCAGAAGAGTCGAGAGAATTTGGAGAGAAGAAGAAAGAGAGCAATTGCATTTTGCATGTGTTGAATGAATTATCAAATGTAATACAGGATATGTAGTTTATATACTACAAGAATCATGAGTGACTCAGCACTCTTATGAGAAGACATCTGTTAACAGAAGCAGAACAGAAAGCTAACAAACTGACATCTGTAACAGAAAGCTAAACTGATACAAGCTTAGCTAAGCAAAAGCTAACTGAAGGCTACGCTAGGCAAAACTAATTGGAAGCTGCAGTGGAGCTAATACACCCCTGCAAACTCAGAGTATGTGATTGAAGGATGCTGAATCTACAACTCTGAGTTTGTCACGAAGAGAAGCAAAGCGGTGAGCTCCAAGAGGCTTGGTGAGAGTATCTGCGATCTGATCAACTGCTGGAACATGAATAACCTGTAATTCCTTGGCAATCACTTTCTCTCGAACAAAGAAGATGTCAAGTTCCATGTGCTTAGTGCGAGCATGTAAAACTGGATTGTGAGATAATGCTACGGTGCTGAGATTATCACAGCAGACAAGTGGAGTGCTAAATTGAACTTGCAGTTCTTTAAGTAAGGATTTTAGCCAAAGAATTTCAGCAGTGGCAAGAGCAAGACTTCTATATTCAGCCTCCGTGCTAGACCGTGCCACAACAGTTTGCTTCTTGGACCACCAAGATACAAGGTTGGCTCCAAAGAAAACACACGCTCCGGAGGTGGATCGGCGATCATCTGGATCAGAGGCCCAGTCTGCATCACAAAATGCAGTGATGGAGAAATGATTGCTAGGATGGCTTGGTTGCAGGACAAGACCATATGCAAGTGTGCCCTTTAAATAGCGAAGAATACGTTTGACAATGGTCCAATGCTCCTCCAAAGGTTGTGACATGAACTGACACATTTTGTTAACAGTGTAGCTGATTTCAGGTCTTGTTAACGTGACATATTGCAATGCCCCAACAATGGAGCGAAAGTGAAATGGATCAGAGTAGTAGTTGGATCCAATTTTGGAAAGCTTGCATCCGGATGGCATGGGAGTTGAGATTCCCTTTGCTTCTGCCATATGAGACTTGACAAGTAAGTCTCTAATATATTTGGACTGAGAGAGAACAACAGCACCTGAATCTGTTCGTTTGACTTCAATGCCCAAAAAATAATCAAGTTCACCAAGGTCTTTAAGAGCAAACTGAGAGTGAAGTTGGGTGATCAGATTTTGAACAAGGAGAGCATCACTTCCTGTAATAACAATATCATCCACATAGACAAGCATGAAAACACATTGGCCATTGCTACGATGAATGAACAAGGAAGGATCGCACTTGCTGCCAAAAAATCCCAGCTTCAGCAGTCCTTCTTTCAACTTGTCAAACCAAGCCCTTGGTGCTTGTTTTAGGCCATAAAGAGATTTCTTTAACCTGCAAACAAGAGACCTATCATTAGAAGTAAACCCAGGTGGTTGTTGCATATAAATCTCCTCCTCAAGAATGCCATTGAGGAAGGCATTGTTGACATCAAGTTGCCTTAGTGACCAACCATATGACACAGCTATGGTAAGAATGGTTCTAATAGTGATGGGTTTGACTACTGGTGAAAAGGTTTCATTGTAGTCAAATCCAGCTTGTTGATGGAATCCCTTAGCTACAAGTCTTGCTTTGTACTTATTCAAGCTCCCATCTGAATTTTCTTTTACACGAAAAACCCACTTGCATCCTATTGCTCTTCGGTTGGGTGGAAGAGGGACTAAAGTCCAAGTGTTGTTTGCTTGAAGAGCATCATACTCAGTTTGCATTGCTGAGAGCCAATGAGGAGTTGCCAAGGCCTGTTTAATAGAGCTTGGTTCAAGAGATGTAATCAGAATTGTGGGATCAGTGGAGCTAGAAGTCAGATTACAGTGGTAGTCTGTAAGGTAGGATGGAGGGTGAGAGGATCGAGTGGAACGTCTCTGAGACTCAATTGTAGGTAGAGGTGGAACATCAGGTATAGGGAGAGAGGGAACATCACATGAGGGTGGAGATGGAAGCTGAGGTGAAAGGGCAATTGGTGGTTCTGTATGAGAAAGTGGAGGGGATGAGATATTGGAAGTTGAGGGAGATGTGATAACAGGACAGATAGGAGTGGTGCTAGATATGACATCTGTGTAGGAATTGGGTAAGGCACATGCAGAGGACTGAGATGCAATGACTGATGGACTGGGAGTAACAATTGGTATAAGATTATTGACAAATAAGCTAGAAGCATCAGCAGAAGATGAGTTGGACTGAAACCAAGAAGTGTAGGGGAACTTATTCTCATTAAACAAGACATCCTTAGAGATGAATAACCTCCCATTAGAATTGAGACACTTGTATCCTTTGTGGTTTGGTGAATATCCAAGAAAAACACATTCACTGGATCTAAAGTCGAGTTTATGTTGATTGTAGGGTCTAAGAAAAGGGAAGCATGCACATCCAAATACTTTGAGGAATCTGTAATCGGGTGTAACTTTGAGCAGTTTGGTAAATGGCACTTCAAAGTGTAATGAAGTAGTAGGAAGGCAATTAATGAGATATACAGCTGATATGAAAGCATGATCCCAAAATTTCAATGGTAGGGAAGCATGTGCAAGAAGAGTAAGACCAGTTTCAACAATGTGACGGTGCTTTCTCTCAACCACACCATTTTGGTGATGGGTGTGAGGACATGCTAGTCTATGGGTTATGCCTAAGTGTTGAAGAAGTTGGGTGAAGGGGCGAAATTCACCTCCCCAATCTGTTTGGATGGCTTTGATTGTTACTTGAAACTGGTTAGAAATGAGGGCATGGAACTGTTTGAAGGTTGAAATAGCTTCTGATTTTTGTTTTAAAAGATAAATCCAAGTGAACCTGCTATGAGCATCAACAAAGGACATGTAGTAGGTGTATCCCATGGTAGATTTGATTGGGGCTGGACCCCACAGATCACTGTATATGAGGTCAAAAGGTTTGTTATATTTAGTTGTAGACAAAGTAGAAGGTAATCTGTGAGCCTTTCCCAAGCAACAAGCAGAACAGAAAAAGGAATTGTCTTTATTAGGAATGGAAATATTACAGGTTTGGAGAACATTTTTAAGTGCCTCATTGTGAGGATGACCTAAACGGCAATGCCACAAGTTGTACAAGTAATTTGATTCAACTGGTGTGCTATTTACAGATTCAGTGGTATTAGCACACTGAGATTGAACAACAGTGGGCATCAAATCAGAAGACAATGATGAAGTAGAAACAGAATTACAGACTGAATTACAAACAGAATGACAAGAAGACAATGAGTTACTATTCTGCCTAATTTGTCTTGATGAGTGAGGGATTTGAACACCATTGAACCGATACAGTCCATCAGCTCCTAATGCACCTTCGAGCAGTACCTCATGAGAGTCCTGTGATTTAACATAACATGAGAATGGGTGAAACTCAAAAAACACATTGTTATCTTTGGCAAATTTGCTAACACTGACTAAGTTTTTGGTGATAGAAGGGACAAGAAGTAAATTGTGAAGAAATAGATTTGTGTGTGGTTTGAGTGGGGATGAAAAATGAGAAGAACCAACAGCTCTAATATCCAGACCTTGGCCATTGCCAATGAAAATCTGATCAGAACCTGAAAGCTGAGAACTCTGAAGCAAATTGTTAGGTTCAGCAGTTACATGGTGTGAAGCACCTGAATCTGGATACCAATCCAATGTTGGTGCTTGAGATGGAGTAGGCAACAGTCCTCGTTGGAGTGTAGCATTGTGCTGTGAGGATGAATGTTGTGCTGGAAGTGAGGTAAGCATAATTTGTGGAGATTGAGTGCTGACAGGAGGTCTCACATACTGAAATGTCCTCTGGTATGAGTTTGTGTTGAAATATTGAGGTGCTTCTGGTTCAGGATGTGTAGGAGTG